TCAATGTATTTCTTTTCTTTCCTTTTTTAAAGATTTTTACCATAGCAATAGGGCGAGACAGTGAGAGGGAAAGTGAGAAATCACCCCCTCCCCCCAGGGGGATGGCCGTGCCACAATCCTCTCTCCTTTAGTCTCCTCCCAGGATTTTGGGCATATATGCACACACACCTGCAGTGATTTTCAAGCTGCTGAGCCTGGGACTCAAACCGTGGTTGGCCATGTGTGCAGCATCTCAACCACCATGCCACCTGCTGGCCTCAATGTGTTTCTAACAATATTCCTTTGGCAGTGGAGAAGCCAAAATCAGAATCCGCTGCTGATTTTACCTACCACGTTGGTCTCCCACCTCCCATTAAGTCTGGATGAGCCTAGTGAGATTCTTTGTGCTTCATGAACAAACTTTAGTGTGCTCGCTTCTGCTTCAGTACACACTGTATATTCTTCCAAGATGGCTTTCTCCCTTCAGAAATTTTACCTATGTTTTAAGAGTCAATTCACATACTGACTCCCTGATCCCAAAAGCTAGATGAGCTTTCTGTCCACTTGACCCTGAATAGTGCCAAGTTATACCTCCCTCTAGGTACGATAGTTGATGTGGTCCTGATGCTGTTCTAGGCTATATGCTCTAATACTGTGCATCTTTGTGTCACCAGAGAAGTGTCACTTGCATAGTATCTTATACATAAAATTCTTAGATCAAAATTTCAAGAATGAATCTAAAAAGGACAAGATGCAAGAGATACATTAAACATCTCTAATTTATTTCTCTTTTTAGCATAATGGCTATGTTGCTGGACTCCCATGTAGTCGACCACAGTTCAGTCCCGGACCCGGTGACTTCAAACTCACGCCGGGTGCGTGTCAGTGGCTTAAAACTCACGCCGGGCGCGTGTGCGTGCGTGCCCAAGATCCCGAGAGGAGAATGGAGGAGAAGGGATTGCGGCGTGACCATTCCTCCCTGGGGGGTGATTTCTCGCTTTCTGTCTCTCTGTCTCTGTCCGTCTGGCGAGTGCACGCACCCTATAACTATAAAAAAAAAAAAAAAAAAAAAAGAATTAGAAATGGGAATAGCAGATAGCATAATGGTTATGTCATTGAACGCCCATGTAGTAGATTGCAGTTTGATTCTCAGACCTGGCAGCTTAAACTCACACTAGGTGCGTGTGTATGCCTGCCCAAAATCCCAAGAGGAGAATGGAGGAGAAGGGATTGTGGCATGGCCATCCCGCCCTGGGGGGTGATTTCTCACTTTCTAGCTCTTTGTCTCTCTGTGTGTCTCTGGTGAGTACACACACCCTACAGCAAAAAATTCTCTAAAAGAAGAAAAGAAAGAAGAAACAAAGAAAAAGAAGATATTTTTAATGGAATCAGCTATTTAGGAGAACTCAGAAAGAATTTATATCAGATCTCCCCAGCAATTAATGAAGTATATTTGCCCGGGGAGACACTTTGGATTTCTTAAGAGGACTAGCTAACTATGTGATGGTTATTTAAATCTTTAGTATATTTATTGATTAATAGGCATATAGAAACTTGCCTGCTAAGGTAGGAATTCACATTTTTTTTCTTTTTCCTTCTTTTTTTTTAGGTTTTTGTCATAGGGTACATGCACTCACCAGAGTGAAAAGTCACCCCTCAGGTGGGATGGCCATACTGCAGTCCCTTCTCCATTTTCTTCTTCCAACTCTCTTTTGGATTTTTGAGCACACCTGTACACATGCCTGGTGTGATTTTCAAGCTCTGCTGGGTTTGGGTCTCAAACTTCAGTTGGCCATGTGGGAGTCTAGGGTCTTAACCACCACACCACCTGCTGGCCCCAGAAATTCACATTTCAAAATCAATTTTGACAATGAAAACCTGACAAATTCTCTCTTAGTGTTCGTGCCTCTTACGGATTTACTATGTGCCAGTTACTGCTTGTCATGGCTATGAGGGAAAAAATAGTCATAGCCCCCCGAGTCACAGATTCCTAATTTGCTCTCTATTTGAAGCATCTACTAAAGATTATATTCAGATTATCCAGTGTTCTTTTCCTCCTCATCTACATTTACAAATATACAATATTTATTTATTTTAAATATTTATTTAATTTTATTTATTACTATTATTATTTTTCAATTCATCACAAAGACAGAGAGAGAGAGAGGGAAAGTGAGAAAGCAAGCACCAGGTCTAGGACTTGAACCATGGTTGGCCATGTGGTAGCCCAGTGCCTCAATCACTATGCTACCTACTGGCCCCACAAGAGTGATTTAACTATAACTCTATCTCTCCATCCTTGGGCATATATGCAAATGTTCCTAGCATGTTCTTTGAGCCATCAGGCTGGGATTCAAATTGCAGTTGGCCATGTGGGAAACAGTTTCCTTAACTACCACAATTAGAAGCGGCATATTTAAGTAATTTGTTTTTTAGGAGAGATTTTTGCTATAGGGCATGTGTACTCGCCAGAGGGACATAGAGAGAGACAGAAAATGAGAAATCACCCCCTAGGAGGGATGGCCACTCTGCAGTCCCTTCTCAATTCTCCTCTCAGGATTTTGGGCACACACGCACATGTGCCCAGCATAAGTTTTAAGCCATCAGTCCGGAACTTGAACCATGGTCAACTTAGTGGGAGTCTAGCGACATAACCATTTTGCCATCTGCTGGTCCCAAGTAATGTTTTATAATAACTAAGAAAACTTGAAAAAGAAAAGGAGATTATGAGTGACAAAAATTATTTTTATTTCCCCGTAATTATTGCTTGACTTTCTGTCATTAAAGGCAGGACCAAAAGGTAGGAGTTGGGGACTTGGATGTTATGTTACATAGTATTTGCTTATGTATGTTTGGAACCAAAATGGAAATGATTCTAAGTAGGATCTGATAAAATCAAAATGAGTGTAGGAATTTGCCACTTAATGTCTTGCTTGTAAGTGAGAAAGTGTACCTGAAAACAGGAAATGGAGTCAAGGGGCTTGGATTCAAATATAAGTTCTGTAATTTTCTGAAAAATAACCTCTCTGAGCATCTTTTTGTAAGTGAATAATTTGGAATAGATTGCAAAAGTTTTTCCTCTTTGTACAGGTCTCTGTGTTTCTTTGATGGAGTTAGAGAAAAAGTGGGTGGTGGGGAGAAGTCCCCTGGTGTTGTTGGCCTCTTTTATTGTTAATTTGTTGGCTCTGCAAAAGACAATGGTAAATGGTTGGGAAGTCTACAAAGCATCTTGAATTGAGGGAGTGAATGAAGCATTTGCACACTGGAAGCCTCTTCTTATAGTATCTTCATAAATAGGGATCTGGTGAGCAAGGCTGCTCTGCAAACATTTATCTAGCCTTAACTGATACACTCAATCTCATGTTGGGTTAGAATAGACAACTGTTGCCAAGGCAGCTTCACCTAAGTTCTAAGGAAAGTATGTGGCATTGCATGAGCCTGCTTGACATTAGAATTTGCTATGAACATGGTTCATCTGGTGTTTGATCCGTGTTTTTGTGACCTCATTGATGCACACTTAAATTAGTTTTTTCTATTGGTCAAAATTTGAACTTTAGGCACTAGTGGTTTGTCATTATTTTTTTTTAAAGAATTATCTTATTTAACTTTATTTATTTATTTTTTAAGCTATTTTTTCTTTCCTTTTCTTTCTTTCTTTTTTTTTTTTTTGGAGAGGTTTTTTTCTTATTGGGCACATGCGCTTGCCAGAAAGACAAAGAGAGACAGAGAGATAGAAAGCGAGAAATCACCCTCCAGGAGGGATGGTCACACCACAATCCCTTCTCCTCCATTCTCCTCTCAGGATCTTGGGCATGCATGCACACGCGCCCGGCATGAGTTTAAGCCCCCAAGTCCAGGACTCGAACCGCAGTTGACTACATGGGAGTCCAACGACATAGCCAGTACGCTAACTGCTGGTCCACACTTTATTTATTTTTAAATTTGACCAGAGAGGGACAGAGTGAGAGAGAGAGAGGAAGAGAGAGAGAGAAAGAGAAAGTAAGCCACCAGGTCTAGGACTCAAACTGTGGTTGGCCATATAGGAGTCCAGCCCCCTTAACCACCACGCCAACTGCTGGCCCCCAGTTTGTCATTATTTTATAAATTGTTATTTACTAACAAATTTTAGAATTAAGTCTCTATTTTTCTGAAGGCAATGCATACTTGGTTTTTGAAAATCCTGAAAAGTACAAAGATTAAGAAGAAAGTAAATATCATCTTAAACTCTACTTTCTAGATGTTTTCCTTCTAGTAATTTTCTCAGTGTGGATGCATTTATTTGGGGGACAGTTTGGCATTAGTGAAATAGTTGTGACTTAAGTAAGATTTCATTTAGCATTCATGATATTAAGCCACTTACCTAATGCACTATGCTAATTCATTTTGAATCTTGTTTGTTAAACCAGATGGCACAACCTTGATGCCTGCAGGGGCTGAATAGATAATTAATGAACCAGTCCAGTTGTAGGACACTGAGTAATGGGGGGAGGGGGGCTGTGATATATTGAAAAATGTGGGTTCTGACTGGAAGAAGTTAGTGCCATTTCCAGCTTCTTGCTGTCATGTGGAAACGGGGACTAGTATTTCCAGATCTTCCTAATTTTTAAAAAAGTCTAGAAGTCTTGATTTCTTTTTTCTTTTTTTATTTCTTTCTATAGGGGACATGCATTTGCCAGAGAGACAGAGAGAGGGAGAGAAAGCACCCTCCAGGGGGGCATAACCATGCTGCAGTTCTCCTCCAGTCTCCTATTGGGATTTTGGGTATGTACTCACACGCACTCAGGTGTGATTTTCAAGCCACTGGGTCTAGACTCTAATCGAGGAATTGGCCATTTGGGACCCAGTGCTTTAACCTCTGTGTGACCTGCTGGCCCCTTGATTTATTTTTAATATGAAAGTTCCCATTAAAAAAACGACTGTTCAGGAGAAACAAAATAGGTCTGTGTTTTGCACTTGGTCCATAAACTGTCTTCTGACATAAATGCTTTTCAGTCTTTCTCATAGCTGTTTTACTAAAGAAAATGCTCACAGAGGAGCTGATTAAGAAATTTCAAAGAACAACTTTGGGAGCTTTCCACCCTGTGGAGACACTGATAGAGTTATTCAGTATAGGAATGATAAAAGCCACCTACAAGGATCAGGCAATGGCATGAATGAATGAAATGAGCTGGATGATAAGATTCCAGGGAGTGGAGAGCAGAAGCAGGGTGAGGGCAGCAGCTGGAGGGCACATGGAAGAGCAGAGGCAGAGCTGGAAAGAACAGTGGAAAAGCCAAGGCTAAGGCAGTGTCTTGCTCACGTAGAGCTGGGCTGCAGGTACTGGAGCTGGCAGGTAACATCTCCAAGGATCTCAAAGTGAAGGGCATCACTCTGCGACACTTAGAGCTTGCAATCTATGGTGATGAAGAGTTGGATTTTCTCATCAAGGAGACTGTAGCTGGGGATGGTGTGATCCCTCACATCCACAAATCTTTGATTGGAAAGAAGGGACAGCAGAAAACAGTTTAGAGGACTGTTGTAACCAGCCCTGTTCCTCCCCAACATTGTACTGTAACAGAAGAAATAATGTGGACATGTGAAATTTTAAAAACCAGTTACATGGAAGAGCATAGACAATTATTGTAGACATGATTAAAGAAACATTTGTATGTTCTTAGACTCAAAGCTTGATAAAAGTACTATTTCATTTGGTGTCAGTTTTATGTTGATTGGCTAGGTTTCTCCCATGTGTTTTATACACAAATAGAATTGATAAGCCAGTTTTTACAAAATATTGATTTGTCTCAAAACTGTTCTTTTCCTGATATATTGGAAATATTTTACTCAAACTTTGGAATGTGTTAAATTCCAAATTGATTATTCAGAATAATCACAGAACTGAAAGGGGAAATGTAACTCTCCCCCATCTGATACCATGATAGAATCTTGGGCATCATTCACTTCTAGTAATGCTGCTATATTATATACCACCACAAAAGAAATTGCCATTGCTGCCATGACATTCCGGTGAGCCACATTCCAATTTCATAGAGGCTAGAAAATGGGCATAGATGATTGAAATGGGTTGTTTGACTCTTTACTGAGCACTTACCATGCGCTAGGCCCTGTGTTAAATCCTCTCTGATCAAGACATTCTGTTAATTGTGCTTTACAAATGTGGAGCCTGAGACTCACAGAAATGAAAGCATTTGCCAAAAAACATGCAACTAGTAGACAGAAAGTGACTTCACTAAGGTTCAAACTTCAATCTGGTTGACACTTACCTGAGTGCTTAAAGTTCCAGCATTCTTGAGTGATCTTTATTGATAAAGTAACATTCAGTAATTAGTACAATCTTTTTTTAAAAAAAAGAGAGGAAAAGTAAGAAAGCAAGCACCTGGGTCCAGGACTTGAACTGTGGTTGGACATGTGGGAATCCAGCACCTTAACCACCATGCCATCTGCCGGTCCTCATGTGAGTTTTAAGCCACTGAGTCTGGGTCTTGAACTGTGGTTGGCCATGTGGGAGTCCAGCAATGTAACTGATATGCCATCTGCTGACCCCTAGTATAAATTTTTTTTTAATTATTTTTTGGGACCAGTAGTTGGCGTAATAGCTATGTCGCTGGATTCCCACATACTTGACCGTGGTTTGAGTCCCAGACCTGGTGGCTTAAACTCACACTGGGCAAGTGTGCGTGTGTGCCCAAGATCCTGAGAGTAGAATAGAGGAGAAGGGGTTGCGGTTTGGCCATCTCCCCTGGGGGGTGATTTTTCACTTTTTGTCTCTCTGTCTCTGTCTTTCTGGTGAGCACACGTGCCCTATAGCAAAAACCTCTAAAAAAATAAAATAAAATAATTTTGCTTTGTTAGTTTCTTCTTTTTCAAAAATTACAAGGAGTTATTTGAATGCATCTACTATCAAACCAGTAAGATAACATTTATGCATCTATCATTTTCAGAATTGTTGGTAACTTGAGCATATTTCCCCCAAATAACCTTGTTGTGTCACAAGGCCCAAGTCGCTCATGTTCACCTCAATGACAGTACCTTTGGTGATAACACCCAAAGTTGTATATAGTGGGGATGAGGGATTCTTCTTTACACCACATATTGGCAGGCAAAAGGTGGCTTTCAGTTCAGGATGTGTTAAGTGTGCCTTCTTGAAATGTAAGCCCATTAGCCTAATGAATCATTCATATTTAGGTGGTTTTCTAGTAAAGCCATCTCCAACAAAGCAAACTTTTATAGCCATCCTCTTCCATGACTCCTTTCTCTCTCCTGTTCGAATAACTTTTAATACTTCTGTTTCTCCCTGGGCTTGAACTTTGGCTAGAGGGACTTCCCATTTTCTCGCTTTCTCTTTCCGTATTTGTTTAATCATATTGGAAAGTACTTTAGCTCTGGACTGTCCTTCTCTGTCCAGCAGATAGGCAGGTACTGCTCCTTGTGAAGTCTTTTTGTCATTCTTTTGTTTGGTGTTCCTCTCTTTATGCATCTTCATAGTCTTTTTCATTTGTATTTTCTCAGCATGGTGCTGTTTATGACAGAGCTTAGCCTTCAGACCAATCATCTTTTTTGCCTTCTTTGAATGTTCATGAGCTTCCTGACTTTCTTTCTCTTTTTCTCATAGTAATCCAAACGACATCCATAGTGTTTACGATGTAATTCAATATATTCCTTTTGTGGCATGGTGACGGCTGCAGAGTAGCTGGGAGCAGCCTCCCAGACACAAAGAAGTTGTCAACTATCAGGCCTCCTAGAGCTATCATTTGAACAAGCAATTTAACACTTAGGTATACAACCAGGAGAGACGATAACGTATTCATACAAACCCTAGTGCACTAATGTTCATGGCATTATTTGTAATAACCAAAAATGAAAACTGTTCAGATGTCTATCAACTGATGCATGGATAGACAAAACGATTATCATACATGGAATATTATTTGGCAATAAAAAATAAATAAAGCACTGATATAATATGAAAGAAGTCAGATTTCATCTTTTATGATTCTACTTATGTCATATATCCAAAATATGCTGATCTGGAGAAGATGCAGAAAATAGATTGCTTAAAGCTGAGCAGGAGTGGAAAAGGTTGAAATTAAATGAGGGTAGGAAGTAAATGCTAATGGTTACTAGGTTTCTTTTTGGGGTAATGAAAATATTTAAAAAACTGATTGTAGGTGATGACTGCCAACTCTGGATTTATTAAAAACCATTGATCTCTCTTTGTGGGTTGATGCTATTGACTATTAAAATTATTCTTTTAGCTTTTGTGACACAGTTCTACCATTCCTTTTTCCCTCATCTCAGATATTTACTTTTAACTGTCTTCACTCGCTTGTTTTTTCACTAGCAACTTAATCTGTTGGTGGTATTGTTAACAGATGGGAGTGTGTCAAGCTGCATTGTGAAATCCCTGGTTCTTCGGGTCCAGATCACTAAAATTAGAGATATGTCCCTAGGTGCAAAATAAGACCGTAACCAAAGGTAAAGTAGGTAGATAAAAAATGATTTAATAGGAAAGAAAAGAAATACATCCAGAAGACCCCTGGGCAGGCAGACTGCCAAATGGCAACTGTACTTGGCACTGGTCAACCGTGATTTTATTACTAGAGGTTATGAATATTCATTAGTGGGAGGCCCATTATACTGGCTATGTCCTTCCTTTGAATTCGGATCCACACGTTTTTTTTCCTGCACCTGCGCATGTTCCTTACAGGTAAAGAATGAGGACTTTGATCACCTAATTGCGCATGCCCAATGCGAGCCAGGTTGCCCCAATTAGACTGCCCAATTAGTCCATAGCCCTAATGGAATTTAGGGTGTTGACCAGAACGCTTGCTTGGGTCTTTTTGATGAGAAAAATCTACGAATCATCCCTGTGTGCTTCCCTCAGGCCCCAAGGAAGGAACATGGCAAATTGCCTCGCCTCCTGGCGACCGGAGCTAGGTGAGCTTTTTGCTTTTCTCTTAGGGCTGCCCGCTCATGACTTACTGACTACCACAGTATTGGGTCTTGATTTCATTTATTGTCCATAGCTTTTATTGTTTCTGTTTATTTTGTGCTAGAGAGTGTACACACTCACCAGAGAGAGACAGAGAGAAGGAGAGGAGTAAGCATCCTCCATGGGGATTGGTCATGCTACAGTCCTTTCTCCCTTTGGCCACCATGTGCCCAGCATGTTTCTTAGGCTGCTGGATTTGGGACATGAACTTGGGATCAGCCATGTGGGATCTAACTGCCTTAACCACTAAGCTACAGAGCCAGCTCTGTCTATGGCTTTTAGAACCATCTGGCTGCTTGTTACTTTTGAATTCATTTCTCCAGTCCACGTGGATGTACTGAGAAACCATTTATTCTGTCACTATTGCATATCTCCACCTGAATATCAGGGTGCTAATTAGTTTCCCTTCCAGGTCTAGTTTTCTTCATATTACCTACTGACCCAGTCACTTGAACCAGGAGCTTAGGAGTTACCTAGATTTCTCTCCGACTTTCTATGTGAAGTGAGTGTCCTTATAGATGCCTTTCTTACATCTGACCTCCTATGTCCATCCACTCTGCTGCTGCTGTAGTTCAGTTTTAGTTTTTACTGAGATTCTAAGCTCCATGAGATCAGAGGCCACATGTGTTTTCTTCATTACTGTGTATAATGCTTGGTATGTTATATGTTATAAACATTTGTTGATTGAACTCAAAGGCAAACATATCTTCGTTATTTTTCTTCTCTCTGGTCCATTCTTGCTGCTGATTTTTTTCTGTTTGAAATGCGAACCATGAAATAATTTCTCATTGCTTAGAAGATAAAGTCCAAGCTCATTCAATCATGGGTACTCTGCTCTGATGATGTTATTTAATCTTGTTAACTTCTCAGAGGCTCCACCTCTTAATCTTATAGTTGGATTAAGTTTCTATTCTTGGGCCCACCAGCATTGGTGTACAGATAGCACTACTGCTTGAGCGGCTGGAAGCATCATGGGAGACTCAGGTTTGGTTCCCAGGCCAACTTGAATTCTCTGGGCATGGTTTTATGTACTGGCAGTCTGGGCTAGTTGTGAGGCTGAGGCAGATGGATCAAGACACAGGTAGACCTAGTCAAAAATTCCTATTTCTGTTTTTCTGCCTTTCCTCCTTTCTCTTCTCTCTCTCATTAAATAAGAAAAAAAAATGAAAGAAAAGAAAAGAAAAAGTTTCCATCCTCTTAATATTGTTACAACCAATACAACAAAATTTCTTTCTTTTTTTTTTTTTTTGGAGAAGTTTTTGCTATAGGGCACATGCACTTGAAAGAAAGACAAAGAGAGACAGAGGGATAGAAAGCCAGAAATCACCCCCTGGGGGGATGGCCATGCCACAATCCCTTCTCCTCCCTTCTCTTGGGATCTTAGGCACGCATGTACATGCGCCTGGCATGAGTTTAAGCCACCAGGTCCAGGACTCGAACCACAGTCAGCTACATGGGAGTTCAGTAGCATAGCCATTATACTAACTGCTGGTACATTCAAACCATAGCAGGCCACTTTCTGCT